GTATGCAAACCTAGACCATATGACCTGGTGTGATGATATCAACTACATGACCTGGTGTGTTGATCTAGACTACACGACCTGGTGTGAAGATCTAGACTACACGACCTGGTGTGACGATCTAGACTACACGACCTGGTGTGACCACCTAGACTACACGACCTGGTGTGACCACCTAGACTACACGACCTGGTGTGATGATCTAGACTACACGACCTGGTGTGACCACCTAGACTACACGACCTGGTGTGACCACCTAGACTACACGACCTGGTGTTTTGATCTAGACTACACGACCTGGTGTGACCACCTAGACTACACGACCTGGTGTGACCACCTAGACTACACGACCTGGTGTGATGATCTAGACTACACGACTGGGTGTGAAGATCTAGACTACACGACCTGGTGTGACCACCTAGACTACACGACCTGGTGTGACAATCTAGACTACACGACCTGGTGTGATGATCTAGACTACAGGACAGAAGGTAACATCTGGACTACATGATCAGACACTGCGTACCAATTCACTGCTATTTACACCTGCTGACCAGAAAACTTTTTATATATTATACACTTAGCAAGGCATTATATACATTATATACAACTCTATTATATAACACTTCCAATATTTACAAAGTAGACCAGCTAAAATGATTATTTACAATGTATATTATTTACATATTTACACATGAATGATAATCATATGTACAACACATCTATTTCTTTCTATTTACAATATCTAGGTACAGGTACCTAAAGTGTAATTTGCTTTCAATATCCTCTTTGTATCACATTTATGAACAAAATCAATGGAAGTGTCTCTTAGATTTCAATTTCATTGACAATGTAATATCATGTATATAGTTTATGATCCTGTTGTGTAGTTTCTTGTAAAACTCAAATATTTTCAAGGCTGTTAAATGATAAAGTTTAAGTGACAGGTGAAATATTAAGCTCTGTTGATAACCAGGGGCTCCTTGTCCAAACCTGGAATTATGTAAATGTTTGAATGATTAGTATAGTGTTGTAAAAACTGCAGCAATGAGGCAAACTTATTCAATAAAAGGTTCTCTAGCTTTATTTCTCCCCTTTACTTTATAAGAGATTACACACAATCAACATGGGTTAATCTACCGAATTTCAAGAAAATTTTGTCAGGGGATTTGATAACACCTAAGGGATAGACTTCAGTTTCAAATTATACACACTGACATTGTGTTTACGGTCATAGTGTAAATAATATTTAAACTGCCTTTATTCTCAAATAATCCCCCTCCTCTTGTGTGAAAGTTTAGTACTACGTTTGAAGTGGGGGGGGGGCTTATTTGTGAACTACTTTTAGCTTACGGTCGTAAAACGATGAGACTTCTTTGTAGGGTAATTTGTCTTAAAAGTCAGGGGTGTGCTTTGTGTATCCAGAAAACAGATTTTATTTTAAACTCTGAACACAAATAGGTATGGTTGAGCTTAATATTAGGCCAAGAAGGGCCATGATAACTCAGTAAAGTGTTGTCCTCAGGAAGCTGAGAAATGGATCAGTCTGTGCTGTTGTGTGCTCAGATACTTTATCCTAATAGATCTGGATGGTATGTAACAGGCCTCCTGTATGTTGTTCAGTGAGGTTGTCACCAGCTATTACAAGGAGACCCTACCTCAAAAATACCCTGGCTGCTGATGGGGTGATAGACCCAACTAACACAGCTTGTGAACAGAAAAAAATTAAATAGCTAAAGATGTAAAACTGAACTGCAAACCAGTGTCTCCTTCAAACTAGCTATCTCTAGACTGCTTTAAATTTTTTTTCCTTTAATCTAACCACACTGATTATACATCCTGTAGTGATTTGTGCTCATTTTGTGGAAGATAAATAGGTGATATGTTCTGACAGACTGATACTTATAGCCATTTCTTTGATACACTATAACAAACTAGAACCGCTTAAAAACAGATGTACCCAAATACATATGATGAAAAACCTTAATTATCAACATTTGTGATATACTGTACACTTTATCACATGAGCTGTTTAGAATCACTCGATGATGTGTATACTTTTTATACCTTACAAAGGGTATACTAACAGACAAGATACTAGTAAACTTACAGGCAAGCACATGTGGTTACACATCAGAGTTAAATAACCTCAAACATAGGGTTCACACATGTACAGGCAGTACTGGGAAAATTTTATAACAGCATTATAACCTTGAATATTTACAGCATATTTTCAAATTTTTACAATTTCTTAAAGACATTTTTTTAAAACTGAACATTAATATTGTTGTGAAGAAGATAGAGATGAAAACGATGTTGATGTAAAAGATGATTATTGAAGAAAAGCAATACCAGCATGAAATGTGAGGGATAACAACAACAAGGACAGGCAGACGACAACAAGGACAGGCAGACGACAACAAGGACAGGCAGACAGCAACAAGGACAGGCAGACGACAACAAGGACAGGCAGACGACAACAAGGACAGGCAGACAGCAACAAGGACAGACAGCAACAAGGACAGGCAGACGACAACAAGGACAGGCAGACAGCAACAAGGACAGGCAGACGACAACAAGGACAGGCAGACAGCAACAAGGACAGGCAGACGACAACAAGGACAGGCAGACAGCAACAAGGACAGGCAGACGACAACAAGGACAGGCAGACGACAACAAGGACAGGCAGACAGCAACAAGGACAGGCAGACGACAACAAGGACAGGCAGACAGCAACAAGGACAGGCAGACGACAACAAGGACAGGCAGACAGCAACAAGGACAGGCAGACGACAACAAGGACAGGCAGACAGCAACAAGGACAGGCAGACAACAACAAGGACAGGAAAAGCAGACAGCAACAAGGACAGGAAAAGCAGACAACAAGGACAGGCAGACTGCAACAAGGACAGGCAGACAACAACAAGGACAGGAAAAGCAGACAGCAACAAGGACAGGAAAAGCAGACAGCAACAAGGACAGGCAGACAGCAACAAGGACAAGCAGACAGCAACAAGGACAGGAAAAGCAGACAACAACAAGGACAGGAAAAGCAGACAGCAACAAGGACAGGAAAAGCAGACAGCAACAAGTACTGCTTAACAAAGAGACCAGACACATGAAACACAGATGTGATGGCAAACAAGAATGATATAAACAGAGGACAGAAAGATGATAATACTGAGGTGAATATTTGGTAGAATATAAATCGATGTCAAAAGTCGATTAATGGACAATATTTCTAACATGAAAGTCAATACACATACTTCTAAGCATTGATGTGAATTTGATAAATGAGCAACATACTTCTTTTTACATTATTCATGTGAAAAATTAGCAGATGACCATATTAATGTCGATGTTTACAGATGGATGACAACAATATCAAAGTGAAATATCAACATAACAATAGATGTTGCTTAAGCTTTAGGAAACATACCTTTACCACAAAAGGTTCCTCTTTGAGAAAAGATTTTCACAATATAAAGTAGTTTATTTATAGTAAATCAATGCATAAATGACATACATGTTAATTAGAGTACTTTTATAATTACATAATGGTAAATCATGAATTTCAAGGGAGATAAGCCACTCACATTAAAAATATTAGGTAGAATTTAAATGGCAGAATATATCCTGTTGTTCATATAACAATGACACATAAAACTCACAATCAATACAAATCTTGTTCCATAGGAGTGAATCAGCTTGATGTTTATGTGAAGTAGAAATTTACAGCATTTTGATGGAGTAAGCATCCTATCTTTGTAGCAAAAACAATGGGAAGAAAAATGAGTCAATGGTGATGGCATCGAGATACTTATTGCACATTAGTTATATACATTTCCTCCACCATGTGTACAGCAAGTTAAGTCTACCTGAGAAATCATTGTAACGCTAACAACAGGCATGTACATACTACTGACAAAGGTATAATAGGAACTTGAAAGTGAGATGTAATTTTGAATTAAGAAGTCAGATGTAATATTGTTTAACAGCTCCCAAGATTCAATATTTACAAACACATACCCAAATTTGGAGCTGTTACCTTTGAGTTTATGCCATTAGTAAGCCTAAATTGGCAAATACAAGTGTCAACACTATTAGTTCCCTTAATGTGGTGATACAGATGTTGAAAGATCTTTTCTGGTTATAAGAATAGGAAGGTTTCACCTGCATTTTTCATCAAACCCTGTTAAAACTAACCATATGCAGTATGATAAAAGGCATATACAGCAATGGACAGACTAATATTGTGCTCCAAATGAAGAAAAGTAAAAGTCCAGTATTGTACTTTGTTGGGCATACATAAATTAAGAAAAATTTATTTTTGATTGAATTTAAATGCAATATTAAACAAACGTTCATCCATGATTTCCCATTGTTACATATTGAAACAATTTGATGATATTTTAAAAAAAGAACAGTTTCTAACTGAAAGTTAGTTTTTGACAATCATTCTGACTGATGATCAATCTCAAAATTCTTTAAGAGAACTAAATTTTAATAAAAAAAGACTTAAGAAAATCTGACATTAGAAAATGATGGTAGGGTGGAGACAGAGCACTATTGTTTGTGATCAAATTTGTCCTACTCAACATTCTGTATAAACTACCCTTCACCAGATAAACCTTAAAATGTGTTGTAAATATTACACTGAACAGGTGAATGGTGTGAATATGTACACATGGTGTGAGAAACTCACCAATATATCATCAACATAACAATCAGCACCACAAAAAATAACAAGATAAATTTACACAATATTGTCTCAAATTCATGGAGACATAACAAAGTTGTCCCCTCCCACACTATCTGTGTGTCTCATCATATAACTTCTCCCTCTTCAGTCTCCTTGTAAATCTAACAAAGGTTTGTTATCACAGACAAAATTTAACATCTGACCACTCCGACAAGATGTTGAACAATCCTTAACCTCCTGCTGATGCAGAGCACTGTCTGCTGTCTTTCCTTAACAGTTGATTGTTTGTATTCTGAAAAGAACGCCCGCATGATTATGCAAGAGGTCCAGTAGTAGTTTTTAAAAGTTTTTCAATTGCACAGGGGTCATAAGGTTGTATGCTGCTGTCTAATTGGTTGAAAACCTCGACTACTGCCAGGACTTCCTGACAACGACAAGTTATGATCTGATAGATCTGCGGTTTCTGCAACATCAGATGTTTCAGAATCCGTTGTCTGCATTTCATGAGAGTCATGGAGTGGCATGAACCCATACATGTGTGGTGGTAGTCTGTTCTGTGTAGGTACTTCACCCATGCCCTCACAACGTGGCACAGTCTGGTCAGGACTACCTTCCTCTAAGCTGCTTGATGAAACACTGCTACAAAATGGAAATGATTCTGTTAAAACCCATAATATCAGAACTAAAGGATATCTATCATATTTACCTGAACAGGAAGTAGAGAATGTGAAAATGATGTGAATGAAGAGTGTACAATAACCAAACAGAGAGGTTATAGATCCTCCTCCAACATCAAAAACATATAATTTCCAGTCAGGGATCCAGGAATTAACAAGAGCACTTTGATCATGCTACACACCTGTGAGCCAGAGGGTGGTGGAGAATTCTATCTGGTGTACTAGGTCCAGAGTGAAATCTCTTTGGTGGACTAAGGTAGTTTTCCGGGTCTGTATCCACTGTCAACAGAAATAGTTCATTTACATCAAAATGAAATAAGTCAGGGTGAATCATTGTGAATATCCCCGAAAAACAGACAATAAAAAGGAAAAATTGTATAATCAATTGTAAATTTTAGCAATGATGAATGGATTTTTTTTCTAATGTTCAAAGTGACCCAAACAAAAGACAATCATAAATTTATCACTGTCCAGGCAAACAAAGTTATGTAAATCAGTCTGATACTAGCAAGACCTTAAGTACACTCTGCCGCAAAAGTCAAGAAAGACTGTTAGAAAAAAAAAAAAACAAAACAAAACAACAACATACTAACAAATACTTTCAACAATCTGATTTTGATTTATAACAGTGACCTTGACCTTAGAACTTAGGACACATACTAACAAATACATTCAACAATCTGATTTTTATTTATAACAGTGACCTTGACCTTAGAACTTAGGACACATACTAACAAATACATTCAACAATCTGATTTTGATTTATAACAGTGACCTTGACCTTAGAACTTAAGACACATACTAACAAGAGATCAGCACCTTTGAGGATAGTTCTTGAAGATTTGTTTATTTTTTTTTTGTTTGTTACAGGTGTGTGTGAACAAGATTTTTTATTAAGCACCTATTAGCAAATATCATTTGAAAAAGATCCCAAAGTATTATTAGATAGCAGTCAGTTACAGATGGATAATGGACAATATGCTTGTGCTGTATTACTGTCGACATCCAAGATGGCTGCCTGTGGACCACCTTGATTTCAAATCAGTCCAAAAAAGGTACAATGCACAACTAGGGACCAAGGGAAACCAATATCTATATCAGAAGGATCCATCCAGTACTTCCTCAGATATAGCAGTAACAAGATTTTACTCTCAAAATCCAAGATTGCCTGTCAGCCATCTTGATTTCAGGCAGGAACCAAAGGGAACCTGCATATGAAATTTGACTTTCCAAGAAATAGCAGTAACAAACTTTTACATTCAAAATCCATGGCCACCTGTCTGCCATCTTGAATTAAATGTCCAAAAAAGGTACAATGCACAACTAGGGACCAAGGGGAAACTGCAAAATTTGAGAAAGATCATCCAGTAAAGAAATAGCAGTAACAAACTTTTACTTCCAAAATCCAAGATGGCTGCCTGTCAGCAATCTTGATTTCGAATCAGTCCAAAAAAAGGCACAATGCACAACTAGGGACCAAGGGGAACCTGCATATGAAATTTGAGAAAGATCCATCCAGTACTTTCCAAGAAATAGCGGTAACAAACTTTTATATCCAAAATCCAAGATGGCCACCTGTCGGCCATCTTGAGTGCGAATCAGTTCAAAAAAGGTACAATGCACAACTAGGGACCAAGGGGAACCTGCAAATGAAATTTGAGAAAGATCCATCCAGTACTTTTCCAGAAATAGCGGTAAAAGGAATTGTTTACGGACGGACGGACGGACCACGGACGCAGGGCGATTTGAATAATACATTCAACAATCTGTATTTGATTTATAACAGTGACCTTGACCTTAGAACTTAGGACACATACTAACAAATACATTCAACAATCTGATTTTGATTTATAACAGTGACCTTGACCAAGGCAGCACCTTTGGTAAGGAGGCATTGTGTGAAGTTTGATTTAGATTGGGCATCTGGATGCGGGCCCAAATAATAACTTATTTATCTGGCTGAATTATGATAACTAAAAATCACTAACATTTCCTCTTGCCAACAGGACTCGGGCGATTTACAACAATTGGACTCATGCTCCTGCAAATGGAAAAAACAAAATTTTCAGACAGACAGTTCATCAAAAAGATTGATATCAATCACATTAATCAAATTTTCTAACATGAAAAACTATTTCCCCCAAGTCCCGATTTATTCTAAAATATTTAGCATGTCTTACACATGTGGTTACTATTCAGATCGATGTTAAACACTGTGTAACAGGCTATAAATGACCATCGTAAGCAATTTATAGCGTCAGATTATACACATACATGTCAATTAATTGGCATTGATATGTAGTTTGGTTTATTTCACATCTGGGCATACCAGCTGACACAGCTCGAGGCCCCAACTCTGTTTTACAAGCTAAGTGACTACGGGATATCATTGCTTAACTTCACATTTTGATAAGATAATCATGTCAAGACTGTCCTAATAATTGTAAGAATCATAAAGATCTTAAACATTAATCCATAGTCATTAAGTCTCAATCCACACTCTGCATACCAATATGTCAACAATAATTATATTATCAACCACAATGGAAAATGCCATTTCTGATTGGTAGTTTCCTGTGCTGCCAGGACACTCTTAGACACTTATTCGTGATTTTGGGCTATGTCAACCCTGACAGTTCAAACTCTTTATTTTATCATGACAAGCGTTATTTCTAATAATTTAAAAAGGTTCAACACTATTTAATTAATTTTGCTCAAACTGACCAAAGGTTCACTGTATATCAAAGGTGTGGATCAACACTTTAGAAGTTGGCCAGTAATTCAGAAAATGTTCACGTCCATGGCAGATATTGGCAGTTGGTGCCAGTCTCATAGCTCTTGTATAGATGGACTTAAGCCATTATCAAATCCATGTCATTGACAAAAGGAATGTATCAAATTTTGTTCAAATCTGATAAGAATTAAAGTCGTTTGATGAAAATGAAGAAAATAACAATTTTAAATATTTTAAAGCCCTGTAACTCTTAACCAATATCAAGCTCATTTGAGATCCCACTAACATGCTTTATTTGTAATGTTAACTGTTAGTTGGTTAAAAATAGCATCACATGACAAGCATAAGATATACAATTTAAGGATAAAATTTCTGTTTATCTTTCTATAACTTTCTTTACTTAGTCTTCATTTACCTCATAAAAGTCTTACGAGTCGGACTAGGACTAGGGCTTGGTGTAAAAGATATATTCTTCACAGGAATCTGCATTGATGGGGAGAAGCATTGCTGAAATATTTAAAGACCAATTAAACTCAAAAAGTTTCATCAATTCTTGTCCTGAGCCATAACATTACTTCACAATACAATGGACTGTTACAAATATAAAAAAAACTTCCCTTAACAACTAAATTTGAAAAACTAAGAGAGAAAGGTTCAATCTCAGAACAAGATTCAAATGACGACAAATTAACTACTTTTAACTTTGACCATCCAACATTCACTCATGGATGATTTAGACGTAACTTTTTGCATCAATAGATCGTCTGAGTGTCTGCTGTTTGTTTTTTGTCCAATACAGACAACTCTAAGTGACCTGTCATATTTTCTGCCAATTTTCCAGGTTTAACAGACAATGTCATCAATACATTTAAGCCTTAAATGCACACAATGACTGTTTACAAAATGCTACAGAAGTGTTTGGGATGAAAAAAAGGAAACTAGCACCAGGAGATTACTGCTACAATCTGTAAAGCATACTTTCTCATTGAAATCTTCACAAACTACACTGAAAATGATATTAGTAAACAGGTCCATTACGCCAGTGCTAGACTAAATATAAATCAAGTCTCCTGCTACAGCAGTGGTTACACCAAATACTCATACCAATTCTTTGTTTTTATCTCTATTCAAAAGTTATGATAACTAATGTCGACTAAATACCTACTTTTATCACAATAAGTTTAAAAAGTAAAGTATGATTTACCTTTCCCACACGTGTAGGTGAAGGAGCGCCAGGCATCAGTACACTGGGAGAGGTGAAGATGTGAAGGGACTCGCTGAAGGACCGAGGTCGTTTTAACTGCTCCATCGGCTCCTGATCATCCTATCAAATACATTAACAAAGATTGTACAGAAACATTGTAATAACTGTTGTCACAACCTAAGAATAACTCAAACATATTCAGTAATACATATCTCTTTTGCAAACTTATACAGTGTTTTTTTCAGCTTCATAAAAAAAGTTTTGAATGAAAAGCAAGAATACGACTTCATAATATTAAGAAATCATTAAATACCATTAATTTGTACACAATGAACCTAAAGAAGGCTGGTAATTATATGTCTCCATGTCATCCAAGGGCAAGGCATAAATAATCAAATGGATTAGTCCTCATTGACCTAAGAAAGTTCTTATGCATTAGAAATTCATTTTCAAATCAGTTGAAACCTTTTAAACATACAATTTTAGGAATGATATGGATTACTTCATATTTGATATTATTTGCCCGTTTCTTCTCAACGTGTTTAAGGCATCCCCATCCCCAAAATTTTGTTGTGTGTATCATGTAAATTTTACTTACATGCATTTCATTTGTAATATATTGTAACTGTATAGCCCGAGAGGTTGGTTGCTTTACCTGATAACAATTCTGTGTTTTCATTGGTTTTTTATAGTCGTTTTACCACAGTGTCAATGTTTTCTACCTTAGCGTATTTGTGGTTCTAGTACAACCAAAACAATTGGTCAATTACCTACCATCTCATTCACTTCATACCTCAGTGCTACTGTGCTTCAGATTGGTCATTAGTCTCATGAAGTTGATCATGTAGTCACCAGTGTTGCACAGAAATCTTTTTGTTGTGTTATAGAACTTTAGTTCTACTGTTCATGTTTAATTCCACTACCCATTATAAGATATAAAAAACACAGGAAATAATAATCCTCCAGCCTATTCTGTGGTCTTGTATTTCACATTTTACATAATACCAATCTTACCAAAGTGAGTTCATCCCAAGATGTTGATAATTTGATGGCAGAGCTGACTTCCCTATAATAGATAGATTATAATTAATTTAAAATCAAAACTCAAAACAACTAATACTTAATAGTTCATAAATACATGTAAATGTATGTTTCAATACCTTTCATCAAAGTCAAAAATGTAATAATGGCCAATTCCGTAACTGAGGCATTACTTAGTAATGATACATCAAGTTTTTCTCCCTGATAATGCACATGAAGTAGAGAGGAAAAACATTTGAACAACTGATTGTGGTTTTGTTATTTAGAATACTGACATTGAAATCTGCATGTATTCACTTTACCCTGCTAAGGCAAGTCTTTATCCAGAATCCTCTTACAGTCAACTTCTCACCTAACACATACTTTCATTTTACCTCACTTTACAATACAGTACTTTTGAAAACAAAATGCAAGTACCTAAGCAACTTTACTAACTTTTCAAAACTAATGACAGATTTTCAAAACATGCGATAAATATGTTATTTCATTCATGTTGGCAATTTTTGGGAACTAAATGAAGGTACTTTAATGAAAATGCATCGTGAAGTACTTAGTCAAACAAGTATGACTATCAACAAACTAAGATGTGTATTGAAGTATTCATACACAAGAATGTGGATATCATATCAAGTCTTCTGATTCAGTATAAAATGTTCTGAATATGTGTATAGATAAACAGTTGTAAGAAACAGAATTACTTTTCATGTTGCCTCTCTTTTTCCCCAATGTGGCTCTCCTCCAGTTTGAGACGATTCACACGATCAGGGATCTTCACTGGAGCCTGAGACATAAATTTACATTGTTAGTCTGGAATAACATGATAGCAATTTTTGGAAGGTAGATTTGAAAAAATCACATATTTTCAATTCAAAAAGGTAATGTATATTTTCTTTAACACAATAGCAGAAAAGTATTTCAGTACTATTGCTATGACCTTGATCACTATACCTGTATACACTGTAACACAAACCAGTTTTCGGACAATTTTTATCTTGATGATTCTCAGTATATTGTTATAGTGTAGAGGTAGTAATCAAAATTCAGACAGATAATCATGATTGGTCAGTAGCTGGAAATACATGATCGATTATGAATTCTGTAAACAGCTGGTCAATGTCATGGATTGAAATTTTGCACAATCTTTCAATTTGAATATTTTTCAACTTGGATATATTTTTGTCCAATACCAATTAGCTTCACATAATATGAATATGTCTTTAACCTGTGACTGGCACTGCCATGGTCGGAATACACCTGCCACATATATTTTTGCTGTATTAAGCGGTGAAGGAAAACAACTGTATTATATTAAGCATGTGAATTAATATGATGGAACTACTTTCTGAATTCACTTAAAATTACATTTAACAATATAAATAACTTGCAATGAGTGATTTTGTAATTTGTAATGAACAAGTTTATTTACAAAAATTCATAAAATCACTGTTGTATCTGTTCATGTTTGGAACTATATTTCTGAACAGAGCAATTATTTTGGCGTATGTCATCAGGCAAAGTTCAGCATGGCGTCATCATCGGGTAAACAAAGATTGAACAACAAAACTGAGGTTTTGATGGTCTGATTTTCAATCAAAGTTGCAGGATATATAGAATACATGGCAAGTGTCTTAAAATCTATGCTGCATTTTTGCTTGGGACAGAAAGCCACTTTTGTATTTCTTCACACTTGCCGAAATACAGCTTATATTTCTAGACACGACGAGAACGACCCATTGATGTCAAACTCTGTTGTCCTTTGACTCGTCCTTTCTCATCTCATATTGTAATGTGATCTTACCGAGACAGCACTTGGGCTGTTAAGGCACATGGAGCTGTAGCTGAATCTCCTTATCCTCGTTACATCTTCAGACCTAAACGAGGGTGGACTGCAAAAGAAAATCACATGCTGGATGTTAATCAGATGACTTTATATAATCATCCATTTCTTTTTCATATGTAGAAATACAAATTCCATTCATTACATTCAGATTTTCAAATCAAGTTCATTTAAATGGCTTTATACTAAAAATGATGCAAACAGTTACATGCATCTTGTGTCAACTGTCACTACAATGAAACAGCTGGGAGGGTAGTCCAAAAGGTTCGGACTATCAATCTTTATCTTTGTGAAAGTCAGAATTTCACACAAATGCACAAAAAATTAGCGACCTGCATGGACTACTCCATGTATGTAACAGTGTTTGATCTTATCTGGTCACAAATGAACCAACAATTTCTTCACATACACAGATTAACATGTCCAGTATTGTTGTCATTCACATGCTGATCTGTTAATTACCCAGTATTATTTACATGATAATTAGTATACCTAAACTCCTGTTGAACATGGGGTTCCATTGACGATACCAGTACGTTGATCATCGGAGCACTGTTAGAACGTTTCAATGTCCCCGGTCCTCCCGATTGACCAGCAGCTGGGGGGTCAACTTCCATACTGCTCTCCCGCAAAAATGACATCGTGATCCAAACAATGGCAACTCCAAAACCACAATTAAACGGACAAAGGAGGGAAACGTGGATATAATCTGGCAATTTGTAAAAAGGTTACGGCAATGATACCTATTGTTTCACTCTGTGAGGTTGCAGGGTAGTGAAATCGAGAGCAGAAAACAAGGCTTTCACTGGTTCTTAACCTAAATCTGCGGGTGCAAGCCAACAGACGAAGTTTGGAGTCTGTTGGAAACCGTATTCATTTGGATATGTGATCTCTGACAGACGTGGTCGACACATTTTGCTGCAGAATGGAGCATTTTCCCTTCCATCATAAAGCGAGATCTTGCAGACTTTTTTTTCCCCTGAAGCAGACTGTCCATCCCGAAGGGAAAATGTATACTCATAGCTGATTGGACAAAATACCAGGGACCTTACTTTACGAAAGTCAACATGACTGTGATGTTTTGGATGTATTCATTGACGCACGGCGTGCTAATCACCAAGAAAGCACAAAAGTAATATCATTAAACTTCGTAGGATTATAGGTAATTAAACTAAGCTCAAATTAACCTAACATCGGAGACTGTCAAAATATTTACAGATTTTGAGATCAACCAATCAAAAACGATTTTATAAAAATGCATTGGTTGCACCATAAAGCTATGTCGTAAAAAAAGACTTGTCAAAATGACATTTTGAAAATCAAGATATTTCTCATTTACATGTTGAGCGTCGTAGAAAATAACTATTTATTCTGTCAAAAGAGTGAATGTGAATGTTGCCAGCGAGGGTTTGTTGTTGATTTATGATATACGAGTTACCTCCCTTAGTACGTTTACATATGTTTCGTGAAATTAAAATTTAATTTATTATAATGAACGTTAGACCTCATATAACAATCATAATATTATAATAAAATTGTCACGATATGTTAGACTCATTGATGCAAATATACAAAACGATGACCATATCAGTAAATAGGTTACATACTAAAAGAAGACACGAAGTCCTGAAAAAAACGACCAAGGAAACGAAAATAGATCACTGAAGGTACATGTATTATTTTAGCATGGCAAAGGAAAGTAAATGAAGCCATATAATATATGGAGTATTAAAGAATATTATAAACAATTATGTTAAGCAAGAAAGGGGGGATAACTCATGCTTCATGATGTCAAGCACAAAAACGGAAACTCTCCTATGCCATGTATCGACGTTCGTTTTGAAATCTGCTTACATTTAAAATCAAAGTACTGAAAGTACTGAAAGGCTAAACGTATTGGAAAATGTTCACAAATAACCGCAAAGCTATATTACTTTCCCCATACTCCTACACTTTGGAATGCAAAAATTACTAAAATAAGAGAACCAGAGGCTATTTTTCTTAATTTTAAGCTATGTTATATCTTCTTTAATTCTTATTTCAAATTTGACGACAATAATGTGAACAAATCAAAATAGGTTAAAAAATACACACAACCATATATTTATCGCCAACAAGCCAAATGATAAATAGCTCTATGATGAAGTTGACTAAATAAAACCTTTGAAATACCCAAAATGTTGCAATTACTATCCTATCAATATGAGGATTTAAACAAATTGAAACGACTTTATACCTACTTCTTTATTTTGAATGTATTGCAAAGTGATAGTCCTTATTTTTATAATTATATTTGTAGTTGAGGAAAGTAGATAAGGTGTACACAGCATTTCAGATAGAGTAAAGTGTAAGTAATTACATTAAATGTATTTACATGCCTATCTTCCTTGAAGTATCATGGTTAGACTTTTCTTCCAGTAATTATGTCTATGAAGACATAGTTCTTTGGGATTAAACCAGACTTCCATATATATATAAAATTTACAATATTTTCACTATAGCTACTACTATTTCTGATCTCCAATGCATTAGATAATGTCACCATGACACGCTAAATGAATGAATATGTTATGGAAATATTTCGTTCTAGTTAATTGATAATTATAAACATGAATATTTTGTGTTTTTTATACGCGCTTTGTTTGAAGGAATATTTTAATTTCAAGGAACTTTGATACACATTAACAAACCAAGAGAAATCAGCACAATCAACCTTCATCAAATAAAAACTAAAAGACAAAAAATGTAAGGTATAACAGAGTCAACATTATGATCAGTACAGTATTAAAAATATATTATTCATAAATCATGACCACCAAATGTACCTTGCCTATGAAATGCAAACTTTTTATCTTGAAAAACTCTAAAAAGTGTCATGGCGCTGGATGTGAAAAACTTGAAAAAGTGTCATATCGGCGGGTGTGCGCGTGGGACGAACAGTCCAATTCGGTGACGTCGAATGAGGTAAAGTGATGTTATATATTAAGACGATCTTGCCACAACGACAAGGATTAAAACAAAATTGATGTTCTGTTTGTAAGTTTTGTTTGTTTATAAGTGCTGTTAGTTGATAATTCAAACCAAGCCCCCAGACTAGCTTCTTATCAACTCGCACGTACAGTGTTCTGTACGCTTACGTCATTTCGAGAATTCCGTAAAATACATTGTTCAAAATTTATCAATAGTTCAACCACACTGTGCTTCTTGTTTGAAATATAAAGTAATCGTATTGTTATTAAAAAATAAACTAATTTCGGATGCTTTTAAAACAGCGATTTGAAAGATCGCGGTATTATTTACGTAGAAAATTGCCGCTAGATGGCTCTAACTCTTTTCGATATTTCAGCCAATGAGAAGACCAGGATCGGTAAATTTTGTCTGAAAGACCGTCGCCTATGCCTAGGCTATGCGTACTGAGTACGTTTAGACTAAAAACTGTACCTATTGCAAGAGAGATGTCGTGAAATAAATGACACAATACAGTTTTTAACGCCATACAAACCTTAACAAATGTGTATAACTGAAAAGAATCTAGTTTTTTTTTAAATACCAGAGATAGCGGATACATAGCATTTTTTAAGATAAAAAAACGTAGTTATTGCTCTTCACGTACTTTCTTCGTTTCCTGGCAAGTGTTCGTCATAGTGTCAAATACGGTGATGACTCTGCTCTTATCATCAGTTGATTAATTTGGCGATGCTATATATATAGAGAGAGAGGGGGACACACACACACACACAGAGAGAGAGAGAGAGAGAGAGAGAGAGAGAGAGAGAGAGAGAGAGAGAGAGAGAGAGAGAGAGAGAGAGAGAGAGAGAGAGAGAAAAATCATCAAATATCGAAAAAATCCAACTAAAGGCAGCCCGAATTGTGACTGGTTTACCCATATATACTAGATCTGACTTACTATTACGAGAAACGGGTTGGGAAGAACTTAAATTAAGACGTCAACATCGAAAGTTATCCATTTTTATACTATAATTAACGGGACTGCACCATCTTTCCTCACTGATTTTCTTCCTGAACATATTGGCAATCTCACTAGGTATAACTTAAGAAACGCAGATCAGTTACGAAAGCCAACTTACCGTCTTCAGTCTATGTGTAACTCCTTTTCCCCTTCTACAACTGATCTCTGGAATGGATTAGATGAGGCTCTAAAAACTGTTGATTCACTGAATTTGTTTAAAAATAAACTATGTACAAGAAGCACCAACACGCTTAAATCTCGCTATTTATATTATGGCCCTCGTAAGCTAAATATTCTTCATTGTCGTTTGAGAGATAGAGCAAGCTCACTCAATAATGACCAATTCAGAGCCAATCTGACGAATTCTGCATCTTGCTCCTGCGGACATCCCTCCGAAGACTCATTTCATTACCTACTTCATTGTTCCAACTATATACAAATTTGTAACACCCTATTTACCGAACTGTCGTGGTATCCGGGTGATATTTCGATAAGCGGAGACGCAAGGCTAAGTTCAGCTGAAAACTCGCTTTTAGCTAGAGCTGTTCAAAAATTTATAGATGCATCTGAGCTATTTGGCTAGTTATCTACATTTCCCATCTCTCCTCAATTGTACTATATACCCCCTTCTTCCCTCTTTACCTACCCTCTTTCCTTCTCTTCAGTCCTTCCCTTATATTTCAATCAAAAAATTATTATTATTATATATATATTGTTACATTGCTTGTTGTTTAAGTATTGGTGTATAAACTATGTAATGGAGAGGGCTTTATAAGTTGTTAAAACATGTGCCCAATCCTATTGTATGAACTTTCTGTAATAAAATAATTATAAAATCAATCTTGATAAAATTAAGACACGTCATGGGCAGTTCCAGCAATCCTCGCGTGGCCATTCATCAACTGAATAGCACCATTTAATATCTAAGAGTTAGAAACAGTAGAGCCAAACAATTAAACTGCATCATACTAGCCGTGAAATGAGAGTATGTAAAGCTTACTATAGATGTAAAGGAGGTTCGAGCTATTTCAACATTTATGAAGTCATGAAAATAGTCAGTTTCCGCATATATTTGTTATGATCAAAAACTTAATATTGTCAGTACGTCCTTTAATGTTGAGAAACGAAACTGATTCCTTGATTATAAGATAATAGTAGCTATTCTTAAAGACCTACTGGCATAACACTTGAAGGATGGTCCCCTAGTTTCGGAGGTTTTCAGTCAGTGTTTGCGACAATATCCGTACATAAGAGCTTTGTTCAACGTTGAAGACATATAGATTATATATGTACAATGTATGCCTAGTAATAGTTAGATGATAAAGCTGATGAAAAGAATAAAAATGAAGAAATAACAAATATGCTGGCTTTGCACGTTTTCTTGCTCATGATTGCATATTCAATCGATACAGAGAATGGCGGTAGACACAAATGCAAGTGTCGATCATTGTTAGTTTGGAGCCGATATCTTTATGACTTTTTTCTCTCAAAAAGTATTATAATTTTGTGAATAGTCTAATTCTAAGTATTACAAATCTTGCCCGAAACCAAACGCATGGAAAACAAAAATAACGAAATCTAACCATATATATATTTTTTAAAATTAATTTTATCTTCCAAACGATTTTCGACATGTAATATTAACAAAAAAACATGTACCATACATGCATC